CTACTCTCAGCCATGCCAACCAATTGACCAAGCTCTTGAAGTCCATAAGTAGCATTGGTGACATAAATACCGTCGACAACGCTCTGCCATGATGGGGCATCGGCGACAAAGCTCTCGTTGAACATTAGAGTCGACCAGGCCATCTGGCTGACGATGGGTTGATAGAAGCCGGGATAGTCAAGAGTGAGGCCACCGCTCAACGCGATAAATTGGATATACTGAAGGCAATCTCCAAAGCCCGGTGTGACAAGACGAAGCAGATCAACATCTCGACCATAATTGGAGGTCCAGTGGAAGATATCAGATGAGCCCCAGGGACTAAAAATGGACGAGAACACGACTGCAAACCCTGTAAAAAGGAGCACTATCATGGGCAAAAACTTGAGTAGCCACGAGAGATCTCCCAGATCCGGGGTCACCGCCATGGAAACACAGCCAATCTGAGGAGCATCGCGAGTCCCATCGATTATTGACATACTAGGTGCTAGGGACGCAAACGCATAAGATGAGTAGGCGTCCCATGTGATGTTCATGGAAGGTAACTGGTATGCATCACTATAGATTTGTGGTCAGTGCATCTCTCGACTTCAATTCATGAGTTGTTTATGGACAAGGACGTACCTATAATCGACTTGTCCAAAGTAAGGTCCAAGCGGGCAAGATCCGTTTACCAATGAAGTGCTGCAGAAATTGAATTTGCCGGTGTTGTACGGAGCATATGTCAAGAAGTGAACCTTGGGGAAGTAGGTCGTAGCAGTGTTGTAGCCATCTTTCTTCTGGGGGGTCACGGCGATTTTGCCATTGATATCGTTAGGATCCTTCCAAGAAGGGTCATCAGGCGGTGGCATCGCGCTGCCATTCCGGGTACCCGTGACGTTTCCCCAAACAATAACTCGAAGGCTGTGTTTCTCGTTCTGGGTATCGAAGACGGCATCGGCATATAAGGGGACCCATTGCAGCCTCGTCGGCTCGTGCAAGCGGTAGGCGTCGCTGAGGCAGTTTGTGAAGGGGATCCTCACGGCGTGAGCAGGCGACACGGCGTGCATTGCAATGAGAAGAGCGACGAGGAGACTTTTCGACAGCTGGGATATTGTGCTGTATCGAGGGAGCCACGCCCTTTGTCGAGGGACAGCTTGTGTCATGGTTGTGGAATAACACTGATTGCACGAGTGACCAGAAGAAACTACGGGAGCGAAGGCAGCAGGCGCGGAGCCAGATATCGGGGATTTCGATGACCGTGCCACATGTCGCCTCCTGGGCAGGTCTTGGATGAGGCCGCGATGGTGTGAGTAAGGGCGGCAATCTTGCGGACAGTCGACAAGCTGTTGACTGGTCAGACCAAGCTGCATAGCTTCGAGATTAAGACTATCCAAGAAGCTGGAATAACCAAGGCTGTTGAAATTTGCCAGTGGACTCAAAACTGTGAAGGCGAACAAGAGGATCGGAGAGGTTCGTGGTGGCTCAGACGGAGATCATCTTGGGTGTCGAGAAGAGTAAGCCGACAGAATATTAGAGGGCCGACCAGCAAGCGAGCAAACGAACGAAGGAGCGAGCGACGCGATTCTCGAGAGATGGCAACGGATGTGAGATGATGTTTGTTTAGATGACCACGGATCAAATGCTGATTGCTACTAGAGTTATCTACGATGGGTAGACAAGGCTGATAGAGCTACCTGAAATACAGAGATAGGGAAGCGAAGTGAAGCGAAGCGAAATCGATTGACGGAATGAGCGAGTGAAGAATTAGGCAGGAAGGAAGAAACCAAAGAAAGAAGGAGGGAAAAAGGCCCAACAGTTAGTAGGTAGGTCAGTAGGTAGAGCAGCAAAATGCGTGAGCGAATAGGTAAGGTAGGTTCTGCTGTGCGCAATGCAATGGTCGTGTGTGTCGATCGAACCTGACTGATGGATTCTTTTTTTGGGAGGGCAGCAAGGGAAGAGAGACGCCCTTGTCCCAGTCGTTGAAGTGGGAAGAACAATCTAACGGGGGGGCCATGGAGAAGTATCAGGTACATGTCAAGTCAGCACTGGGGATAAAACGCTAGAGGGGCCTGTGAGTCTGTAGAACGCCCCGGGCCAGACTGGCAGTGCACACCTGCATGCACCTGAACTAGCTGCTGGCTGTAGGGAGCTGAACTGGATGGACGGGATTCTGCTTCCCGTCATACCTAACCTCACGAAACCGTCGCCGCCAGTTGACGATGGATCCCCCCCAAATGTCCTTGGCTTCCAAGGTGAGGATCTGCAAGTATAAGTGGATTGTTTCCTGGTGAGCATTACGAGGTCCAACTTGGAATTTCTTCAACCGACCCGTATCTCATGCTTCTTGTGTCTCATAATGCACCATGATTTACGCTTAAACCTCTCTCCTCTTAATCAGCCCTGGCACGAAGGAGTTCAACACCTGGCCTCGAGTGAGATTTTGTGGAATGGATATCCGTACCTTACTAAGGCGGATGGAAGGATTCGGGTTTGGAGGGAGCTACATCGGCTCTGGTGTCTGCTTCAAAGCTGGGCATTGTGGCTGGGTCCACGCTAAGAACGCATGTCCTATCTTTATCTCAGGCCATCTCAGGGCTCAACTCATGGATGCTTATCAGGAGACGACTTCCATTGATTTGTGCGACCAGTTCAGATTATCATCTAAGAGATGCTGCATGTAAGAGGTGACCATTTCTTCTAATCTCTCTAGCCTCTGCAGTTCTTGTCCTACCACATAGAACTGCCTCTCTGTTAGGGATTACCTCTTCCAGATGAACCTCAAGTATCCGATACTTCCATGTGTCCTGCAGCTTTCGTAAAACAAATCCCCTCCCATTGGATCCCAATCTGCGCTAGCCTTTGACGTTTAGCGCAAAACGTCATGGCTTGCGGCTTAGATTGAGCCCGATGATGGAGCTGTCCCTTCTAAAAACGGGCAACGGCCGCTGGATAACACCTACAAATCTTTCCATCATTTGATCGACGTTTTGTTCAGGTACCTAGTCTAGGTTGTATTTAAGGTATATATCATGATCCGATATTTCGAGTTCAAAAGCGGTCTTCACTCCTCACCAACATAACCAACTTGTTACCCGCTGTTTCTGAGTTAAATCCGGATCAGAGATGCTGGAATTCCAAATTTTCAACTCATCAATGCAAGGAGGCAATCTTGTCAGCCACAGCCACGATTGAGCGGAACGCAACGTACTCCCTACTTCTCTGAATTTGATGCTTTTCACATACAGCGTTGTATGCAGTGCACATATACGCTGCTTACTCTTATACATGATACTGCGGACTCTTAATTGGACGCCATCACTTGTTACAAGTCACGTCAAACCCGGCCTCTTCTTCCCAGCAGCTCAAGTCTCGATATCTGGATGCGGGGTGGGTCTGTGTTTAGCTGAGCTGTTAGTCATCACCACATCGAACCACACGTTACAGAACAGAAGGACTCCATTTCATGTCAGTTGCTTCTACTCCGTACTAACGTCGACTCACTCTTCGACTCGTGGAGTAACTACAGCGCAGATACGAGCGGGAGTAGGGCCAGCGTGGGTATTCCCGTTCCCATCTTGACCTTCGCCTAGGCCCTACGGAGTATTCGTTGACCATTTTCACGAGAGCCTGTTACAGTAGTGCCAAACCTAACATGTGGACGGACCAACCGAGGGCTATTTTCAGCAACATCCATCCATCCACCCATAACAGTGGAATCCATGCGCTCCAGTCTTAATTCTTCAGCTCATCTCTACCGTAACCATACAGTTTATACCGGCAGTCTCCTCTGTTGTCATCAAGAACTCTATGCAAAGGGATATGTAAGCTCGCAAATCAGTAACCCTTCTTTTCACGTACCGAGATGGTCTGTTTTACTAGCTCCAGTCACACAATCCACCTACGACCCTTGTCCCTCAATTGCTACCGATTCTTCCGTCAACGTTAGGCGATGATATACCTTCCCTCTTGGTTGCCTGGAATCTGGTTTTGAGGTCCCCATCAACCTCCACTTCGCTTCAAAGTCCCCCATCCATCGATATACCCGACATCTTCTAGCAAATTCCAAGCCAGCCGCAGCATTACCATGTCAATATCTCATGTTTTATCTTGCCCGCCATTGGGAAATCGTTCAAAACGCCATCTCGATGGATGGCCAGCTCATCATTGGGTCATCAAAGGGTTCCATCAATGATCTATACCCCTGAACCCTCTCCCTCACACTTCAACTACACCCTCTCGCCAGCAACACAGTCTCAGTCGCCCACCCGAAAATCATCCACCCACCATCAGAGCATGAAATATTCTGCTCCCCGTTGATGACATTTCGTAGATCCTATTCTCTGATAGTGATGTGGGGAGGAGGAGACCTACGTAGCCTGCCTCGGGACTTTTTGGCTCTATCACCAGACATGTACCAGCTATGATCCCGTACATACTGACTTACCCTGTGGCCTTGTTGTATCTAGGATTTGCTGGTTTTACGAATAATAAGCTACAACGGAACTTGGAAACGATCAAACACTTTAGCCGCTATGACCGCCTTCTGGGCTGATGTTTCTTGGTCTTATTGGCGTGCTCTCTATAAACACCTCATCTTGAAGCGGCTTGTCTAGCCTAGCTAGCTTGCCAGTATGCTTTGCGTACCACCTAACTAGTAGAGAACTTACGTTTCAGGATTAACAAACTAAAGTAGTTGCAGTAATATCTAACTGCGGCTCCCAGCAGATGCTACTAGCTGCATCGGGGTTGTCTTAGATCCAGTACAAACACCATCCTCAGGTTCAGCTTTAAATTCCTAGTGCAATTTCATTAACTATCTTCTGCAGGCTGACCATGTAGCCCAGCAATCTAGCAAACCAGCTAGCCTCGTCAATTTAGTCGTTCAGTCGTACAAGCAATCTCCACAAGCGAATCCTCCTCCCTTTCCGTCAAGTTCCCTATAATTAACGGTATACGAATGAATGAACACCATGATTGCTTCCTCCAAAACATTATTGCGCTCGCGACCGAAACAAAACGCTTTACGCCTTCGATTTACCCTTCACTTCAGATCGAAGGGTGTACTCCACCGTGATAGATGGGTTTCCTTTCAGCCACGACTCTGTAACTCGTCTCAATCGCCTGTCAACCTCTTCAACCTCATCCATGTTCCTGAACTGTAGGGCCAGGCCTGGCTTCGTGGCTCGACCAGAGTTCACGAACTCAAGAGTAGCAGCTTGTAGCTCGCACATTCGAACCTCGATCTTGACTGAGAGATTCAGCGTGGAATCGTTTGGTGATATTGTTTCAAGTGGAAGTTTTGTCGACGCAATGCGTCTCAATCTCCCCCCGTTTGCACGGATGCGCTGTCGCTTCATGAGAAGGCGTCTAGAATCCAACCCCACGCTTTCTGAAATTGAAACGCTTGAAGCGCTTGAATCGCGTCGCTGTCTCTTGAATGATTTCGAGTCGAATCCCCCTTTGTGCTGGGCATGAATATGATCTAGCGGTGCTGGGCTGTATCCACCAGCAGCTTCTTCGTCCGACCATGTGGCTTGTGGCGGTGGTGTTCTCTGAAGTAAAACCTGTAGAGAGTGCGACCACGGCTTGTGCCTTTGGAGTTGACTTCGTTCAGAATCCTCCGTGCCTCCTTGAGGGGTTACATGATTGTGTGGTACTTGATCGGACAACCAAGATTGCGCATAGGCCTGAGAGGAGAATTCTCCAGGGCTAGAAGGATGCTAGCCTTCCTGGCCCTCAGAGTTCGCATGACTATTGTGCAGCATTTCCTTAAGATGTGCATCCGAGTCGTCACGGCTGATGCTCATCGGTGGATTTCTGCGGTTAAGTAGTCCATTGCCATACCAAACTTGGTCCGATCGACGTCGGCCATTGGATGCTGTGGGACCACTTCCAGGGAGCAAGCGGCTTTGTCTTAACCCATCACTGCTTCGCCCGTTGACTGAAGGTATCAGACTACCTCGAGAAGACCTCTGGGCTCTGGCCGAGATATTGTTGGTGGATTGTCGACGAGAATCACGACGGGTTGGGTTACCGGCACCAGTAGGATCTGATGATGGCGGTGTTTGCAGATTTGCCGGCAGTGTTAATTGCAAGTCTGGCATTGCATTGCGGATTGACTGCTGTCCCAAGAGAGGCCTGAAAGGCTGGCTTAGGAAAGGAATCTCACGACGTGGAGATGTGTGAGGAGATGGAACGGCATATGGCCCAGCAAATGGAAGGTCGGATGTGGACTCATCATCACTTTCGTCTTCGTAGTCTTCTTCCTCGTATTCTCGGAATAGGTTGAGGAGTGATTCTGACAGCTCCTTCAGCGGAAGGCGCCGACGATGAGAGGCACTCGTCAAATAACTCCTCGTGTGAGGGATTTCGGGCGTGGCAGTCTCGTCTGTTGGGATTTGGATCGGCTCATCCCTTGATGGGCGAAAATAGTCATCAATGTTACCGAAATGACGGTGTGAAGCCAATCCTCGACGTTGAGGGTTTGATTGCAATCCATCTCGGACAAGAGGAGTGCCAGCCCGTCGAGGTGTAACATGCACAGGAACTAGTTCTTCTGTGCCGTCCAGGTCGGTCGAAGCGGTTTCCCTTCGTGAAAGATTGACTGTTAATCGTGTCCTCATCATATCCCAAACTGCTGGGGCTTTCTTAGGACTCCTTGTCCCATCCAGGTTTCCCGATCGTGAGGTTTTCTTGGGTGAAGTGGGAACAGTGGAAGCGGCGCGAGAACCCCTTTCGCCACTTCCAGATACGTCAGTACCACCAGTAACTCTCTCAGGCTCATCGTTCAAAGAAGCGACAAGTTCTTGGTTGGTCAACAAGGGCTCTTTTTCTATGCTATCGAGACGTGCTCCGTCTCTTAGCCGTGTCTCAACCGTCTTCGAAGCCCATGGCAGAGGTGATAGGCTATTCTCCAACGCCACCAGCTTGTGTTGAGGTTCGTTGTCACCCAAAACCTTCTTCTTGTAAACAGAATCGCAGAGCTTCTGGAAACAGCTAAGGACGGCTGGTTCATCCACGAAAAGAAGTTCATCTTTCGAGGGTGTTATATTGGGGTCATACGATCCAGGTGAACACTGAATGCTGAGTTGCATAAATGCGTTGGAGGGTGCTCGTGATTTCTCGGGTGAGTTTAGAACTGCGGAAACACTCGATCTGAAAATAGAAACTAGCTTCTTTCCCGTGCCTCTGGATGATGAAATAGGTCGTGAGTCGACCGAGATGAAAGCTCCCTTCCCCTTGATGATATTGGCATCGGGGTCAGGCTTGGGTAAGGAGGCTACAATTTTCAGATTTTTGGACTGTACTTCGGTTGAGGTTGTTCCAGCGTAAGAGTCTGATGACACCGCCACGAGCTGACTTGTAAGAGTGTGACCAAACACTTGTGTGATAGCCTCTCGCGTGCTTGGTGTTGAGCATGGTGTGTAAAGCCACGGCTGGATTGAACTACCAGGTACTTTGAATGATAGTCTGATGTGTGGAAATGCGATCGCATAACCCTCTAGGAGTCGTCTGATATCTGCTAGGGTCTTTCGGCTCACTTTGATAGCATTTTGTTTCCGGACAGGAAGGTTTTGAAACAAATTCAAAGCTTGGACGGTTGTTCCGACAGGAGCGGAAACAGGCTGTTGGCTGCTAATTCCGCCTGATTTTGTGTTTAAGAGAAGTAGTGATGCAATGGGATCCTGGGCTGTTCGAGTTGTGATTTTGATCGTAGCCAGATAATTGGCACTAGCAAGAGCCTCGCCACGAAAACCAAGTGTCTCTCCTGCTTTCAAATGAAGTTCGTCGAAGTTTCGGAGCTTGCTCGTATGAGACCGACGCCCCAGTGACTTGAAGTCGTCCACCCGTATCCCACAACCATTGTCTCGGACTTGAACTTTGTCGACGGTGTTGGGAGCAACCGTGATTTCGATAGATGTAGCACCCGCGTCAATACTATTATCAACAAGCTCCTTGACCATGGAGAGGGGGTCTGGAAGCGAGGATGAAGACCGTAGGAGGTGCGCTGAAGATGGCGGCAACGCAGATATTGACATTGTGATAGTGAGATGGCTTGAAGATGGAATTGAGATATGAAATTCCCAGATAGTTTTGATGCTGCATTAAGACACAGCATCTGGTTGCCCGAGAGACTAACACGGATCATGTGGATATTATGCTGGTGGAGTTATATAAGAAGGGGATTTCAAGCAGGGGGTGTTGGAGAAGAGGAAGATGAAAAGGGAAGAAAAACAATTGAGACGAGTGGTGATTCTCGTCTGCCTTCCATACAATTCAAGAACATAGAGAGATTCTTTGAAGAAGGAGGTGATTCAGCCTCTTCCCTTAGTTCCCCTTAGTCCTTCCTTCCGACTAACACATCACACCAGCTGCCGCCAAGAGGTTAGAAAGGTCCGATCGAGGTACGTACCTCCAGTCCCTGCATTCCATCTCTATATCCAACAGGAGCGTCCAGGGCACCATTCTGTCCCTGTTCCCCTGTGACGTGACTATCTAGCCCCGCTGTGAGTAGCCCCGCGTTGTCTCTGGTGGGCGGATGGCGGATAGAAACCATCCATTGCTAAGGTAAGCTTCCTTTCATAAACCTAAACCATCCTCCAACCTCGTCTTTTGGTTACCTACCCATCTCAATTGATTGCGACAGCTACATCCCAATTGTCGACATACAGAAACTCCTCCGTCCCAGCATCCGACTTGATCTCGATCCCAAATTCCGACGATGTCTCTCAAGGGTCCTTCTCCGCAACACCACGATGGCTCTAGCCTGCGCATCGGCATTGTCCACGCTCGTTGGAACTCAACCATCATCGACCCTCTTGTGACCGGTGCCAAGGCGAAGCTCCTCGCAGCTGGCGTTAAGGAGTCCAATATTGTCATCCAATCTTGCCCTGGCTCCTGGGAGCTTCCCATTGCCGTCCAGCGGTAACCTCCCCGTTCCATTGTACCTATTGATGCCCAGTCGCTGACGTATTGCCATTTTCTAGCCTGTTCTCCGCTTCTCAAATCCAGGGCACCTCAACTGGTGGTCCCTCGGCAACCGACCTCCTGGCTTCGTCCACTACCGATCTCACCTCTCTTCCCGCCTCCTCAGGCGCCTTCGATGCCATCATCGCCGTCGGCGTTCTAATTAAGGGAGAGACCATGCACTTTGAGTACATTGCCGAATCAACTTGCCAGGGCCTTATGCGTGTGCAGCTCGACACTGGCGTTCCCGTCATTCTTGGTGTCTTGACCGTTTTGACCGAGGACCAAGCGAAGGCTCGTGCCGGTGTTGACGGTAAGGGTCACAACCATGGAGAGGATTGGGGTCTTGCTGCTGTGGAGATGGGTGTCAAGAGAAAGGAGTGGGCCAATGGCACCATTGATGGTTAAAACAGCAACGTGCATGACAAATGATAAAACATCGCATTTTGGACAAGGCGTGGATAACCTTTGCGTCCGTCAACGGACCGATGAAAGCATGACTCGGGCCACAGATGAACACCATTCCGAAAATGACCTCCCAATTAGTCAATTACCGCATAAAGATGTATCTATCATGCGCCAGTCTCAGTCCTAATGAGCCGGTGCTTATCATATCTTTCCGAACGACGCCCGGGTGAAAAGCACTTCTAGAATATACAATTGTATGTGGCTCTCCACTCGGTGGTTGAGTGAGTATTTCAACCCATGGATATCCAGATGCAAAAATAGAGCATATAAACCAATCTTACCTCCTTCTCTTTTGTAATAGTTCCACACCCGTTAGCCCTTCGAATTATATCATGGTTCCAAAATCGCTTCCCAGTCCCTTCTTTGACTTCCACATGCTGCGCTTCTTGTCTCGCTTGGCCTTCATCGCCTCCCACCCTTCCTCGTCATCATCATCTGAACCGTCGCCTGTGGCGCTTACAACGTTAATAGTAGACTTTCCCTTAGGGTCATCCCAGCGACCCAGCGCTCCAGACATAGTGTTGGTTCGTCGGTGGGGATCGGGGGCTGCAGCAGCGGGCATTTGAGATACTGGGCGATATCGGCCGGGAAGACCAATGTTGCTTCGCTCGGATGGTGCGATTGACGGAGTGTATCCCATAGGGGGCATGCCGTGAATCGAACCAGCGTATCCGCCAGGTGGTGGCAGGAAGGGAGCGCCTGAAGGTGGCGCTACCATGCTCATGGTACGCATTCCGGCGTCCATACGGCGGGGAGGCTCTAAAGCTGGCTCAAGCATCATTGAGTGGCGAGAAGAGAGGTCGTTCATAGATTGAGTGGCAGAGAGTCCTCCATAAGGTTGCATCGGTGGCATCATCCCGGGTTGCTGCTGCTGCTGGTTGTTGGTAGCCATCATTTGCATAAACTGCATCTGCATCTGCATGAACTGTGACATCTGCTGTGTCATTTGAAGCTGTGCTTGGTCTCCCACAGTGAGCTGTGGTGGCGCCATGGGCATAGGCATCTGTTGTTGAGACATGCCCATACCTGGCATGTTGTACATGCCGCCCATGCCGTTCGGAACGCCTTGGGGCATGTTGTCGAAAGGAGGTCCTTGGGGCCCGTTCATGCCAGGAACGAACTTCTGGCCATTTGCGTTGGGACCGCCGCGGCGCATAGCTCTTGAGCGTTCCTCACTGGCGATCACGCCAACCAAGCCTCCAGGGGGCAAGGATTGCTGAGGCTCTGAGGCAGGAAGGCCACCACTGAAAGTGAGCGACTCCCGCATAGCAGGTTTTGCGATACCTGCACCAACAAAAGGGTCCTGAGGAAGACCGCGGGCGAATGCAGGCAACATCGAATGGCGCTGGTTTTGACTGCTGCTCTCGCCCATTGCTGAGCCGGGTCTTGGGGGCGCCAGCTGGGTTGATGCTCGCAGGTTGGGGTTGGAGCCCATGGTGCTGAGTCTAGCGGGTGGTCGGTTCTTGCTGGGGAAGCCATGAGCCTGCAGAATGGCCAAAGGAACCTCCTCGTCGTCATCCTCGTCAGAAGCACCTGCCGGGGGTCCGGGAGATGGTGTCTTCATGAGGTGAAGCTGGGGTGCACTCATGGAGCTGGCCAGCCCGGGCCTTTCGTGCGATTGCATATCAGGCTGCTCTCCAGTGACTTTCATCATCTGCTGTCGATAGACTGCCATGTGAGCCTCCTGCTTTCTCCTCTGCTTTGCTTGCTGCTTCGACTTCTCGATCTCGTCCTCATCATCATCATAATTGATTTCATCGTCATCGTCATCATTGGGGGCTGACTGCATTACTCCAGCACTCGAATCGTGACGCTCCTTGTCTTTTCGGTATCTTTCGAACTGGGCCGGGGTCATGACCTTGTTGTTTCGTGGTGGGCTAGGAGCTCGAGAATTGAAACGGTTGGTGATGCGCGAAGAGTGAGCGGAAGTCCCTTCGAACAAATTGTCGTCTCCTCTGTTGAAGCTGCTGTTGAGAGGCTTCCTCTCGAACGACGAGAAGGAATCTTCGTTTCGTCGGTAACGGCCGGAAGTGGGGTTGGAGCTACTGGACTCGGAAAGCAACCTTCCGACTGCGATGGAATCCTGTAGCAACTTTGCGTCTTCATCCTCAATGATATCGGACGGCCGGTTTGACGTCTTGAAGGAACTCTGGTGGCGCGGAACCGGGGGCGGCACATCATCGAGCTCAGGGGTCCCAGGCTGAGATCCGAGAAGATTGTCGTCTTCGTTGCGGCTGTGCCACGACTCAGGGCCAGGCTCAACTTTGGTGATCTTGTTGATACTCAGAGGGGGCGGCTGGATGGATCGGTTACTGGTAAGTGAGCGAGGAGCCGCGGACCCGTCAGCCCTCATGGTGGCGACGCTCGCTCTCTTGTCGAAGGACGAGAACATGGAGCCGAAATCACCTCCCATATCCATGCCCCCATTCTCCATCTCTAACTTTGGCGGTGTAGCAGTGCTGGTTGTAGATTCGGTCAAGCCTCTAGATCTTCCACCAAAAGCATCCTGTTGAATGGCTGGAACGGGAGGGATGTCATTATTGTCAATCTTTGGGGAAGACGCGCTATGTTTTTTCTGGACCCCGAAAGAAAATGTTCGACCCGCTCGGTTCAGAAACCCGGACCCGCTGGATTTTACACCAGGTCGAGGAGCGATCTCGTGCAAGTTCTTCTTCTGGGAATGGGAATGTTTGGGATCGTCTTGGCTCTCGAGATTCGTAGAAGACGGAGCAGTTGAGGCATTGCTGTGCCTTGATGAGGTATCAGTTGATGTGGCTTTGGTCGTATTAGAGGCCCCACTTCCCCTGGAAAGGAGTCAGCGCCATGATGCATGACTTAGGTTGTGTTATTTTTATCTTTCCAGAACCAACGGCAGTCGTGCAACATTCCTTGGCGAGTCACACAGGCAGAGGAGGGAGGAGGCGGGGGATCGAAGGAAAAAAACTCACCTGTTGCCACTCTTGAGGTCGGCAAACATGTTATCTTCAGTCTCAAGTTCCAGGTGACTAGGCTTAGGAATGTGATGACCAGAGTTCCTGGCCATTCTGGCGCCTCCGTCAAATGATTTGCCGAGCGCAGGGTCGCTGCGCTCAATAACTCGGAATGACGATTGCTCTGGTGTTACTGAAGCATGCTGAAAATCCTCCGAGGTTGCGGTTGACTTCCGCCTGTTAAACGCAACACCGAATCTAGGCATGTAGAAGGTATAATAATAGAATATCGGTTTGGGATTAGATACAACTCATAAAAGAGACTCGGAACGATCCGAGCTGAGCTGAAGTTTTTGGTACTGTTTTAGTGATCGATATACGGCGGCGTTTTGGGCCTGGTAATATGAAAACGAAACGAAGATGTGGAACAAAGACTGCAGGCCGTGCGTTGATGCGGCGTTTGATAACGATAGCGAGGGTATTCGAACCGAACCGTGTCAAGCAAACAAGATGCGTATGATGGATGCGGATAACTGCATGATCGAGGGGGCGCCGGTCAGCTGGTGTTGGTGACAAATGATGCACTGAAAGTTGTCGCAATTCTTCAAGGTACAGCACGTAAAAGAATTGAGCGGGAAAGATAGCGGCAGAGCAGCAGCAATAAGCAGTGCAAATACAGCCGTGGGTATAATAGAGGATCGGGGACAAGACGGGAAGCTTTGTCGGAATCAAGAGAGTCAAGACAAGTTCCAGAGAAGAAGCATATAATCCGGGTGGTTGGAGGCATGTGTCATTGATCCAAGGCAAAGAGAGTTGAGACTCACATTATGATCTCCAGAAACGAAAGACGATTTGTATTAGGAGTAAAAAGTGGCTGGTTAAAGCCGGAACAAGACGATCGGGCAAAGGCGAGAGCGAGAGTGAAAGTATGTAATGTATGTATAGAAAGTAAGACGATAGAGGCTCAGTCTCAGTCGTCTCGTATCGACTCAGAGTCTCTCTTTTCGATGGGCAGAGACAGACTTATTGAATAAGACTTGACAGGCGGCTAACGTCAACGACAGAAACGCAACAGTAAAAAAGTTAGGAAGCGGAGATGATTAGGGGGGGAAGAAGCGAGTGGTAGTGGTGAGGTTTGAACGAGAGAAAGATGGCGAACGAGCAGAAGCGAGTCCAGTCTAGACCTGACCTGACCAATTCAGTGGTGGCCCGACAGGCTACATACTTAGGTAGATAGGTACATGCTACAGTACAAACAGCACCAGTCAGTACAGTTCATGGATCCAATTCAATCCAATCGACATGGATATTTAGGGCCATGGCCCATGGATAAGTGAACGGCCAAGCACAGACGGACCTCGAAGGGCACCTAGACGGGGGTTGGGGGTTGCACAGTGCAAATGTTGAAAGAGTGTGCGCTCTATTAAACCCCCGTGAACAGCGCACGGCCTCCGTCTCGATAGAGAAAAGAGTCGCTTTCTCAGAACCAGTGGACGAATGTGGAATGAGTTGCTTTTGCGATGTGATGCTATTTGATTCGATTCGATTTCATGTTATAACGTTGCGATCCCTATATAGAAGAGTATGGATAAAAGAGCGGTTCACAGAACAACCGAGGTGAGTAACTCAAGAACAACGACACATAGGTACGTAGGAGGTAGACAACAGCTCAGCTGTTGTGGCTATGACAAACTTTCGATCAACTCAAGTCAAAACCCGGCAACTGTCATCAAGTGAAATTTTGTGGAATCGGAATCTACATATCATCTCCATTGCATCAGAATACTAGAGGTATCAACCATCCGTAGACAGAGGCCTCAAGTTAATTGTCCCTGTACACTCATCGTCACAGCCCGTTCATCTAGTCCGTCCTAGCCCGTATCCTTTCCCGACTACCACCTCACTAGTGTCGTTGCTCCATGAGAACAGGCAACCCTTGTCATAGGAGGCACGGTCACCGCTGAACCAGAATGAGAGCCAGAGCCGCGGCCATGGCTTCGCCAATAGCAT